CTGGTGGAGCGCAGCATGACCGAGGCTGAATTATATACGCTTTACAAGGGAGTCTATCTGCCAGCACTGGTCCACTCCCCTCAGAGTCTGTCCTACTTTGAGAAGTTCACATTTAGACCAGAAGATGTTGTCATTGTGAGCTATCCTAAATCAGGTGAGTCAGTCCTGCCACTGATCCTCTCACTGGTGATTTGTCTTGTTTTTCCTAGAAGTTTGATTCTACATAATTGTTGGTTTTTGTGCAGAAATATAGGAATATTTGTGAATAGTGTGCACTGAGGTTTCAGAGCCAAAAGTACTGATGACTGTCTTATCTCCTGTTACTGATTAAACTGATGTGTGGGAAAGGAAAACAGTACTCACGGTGAAATTGTGGAATGCAAATGTGTGGCATTCCACAATGTAAAAAAAATGTTAAACGTTATATTTACAGAATTAGTCTCAACTAGGGCTCAGCTCTGCCCCCACTTCCCCAACCCGCACCCCCCAATCTCTCCAACCTCCTCCCCCCTCTTCTTTACATTTACGTGGGTTAAAAGGTTCACGATGCATTACTCCCTGCTAACAGAACTAGAAAAATAGATATTTGCAAAGTATGCATTCATCCAATCTAATCTGGTCAGGGGGTAGGGAAGGGCTGCAGCTGTTTCACCCAAGATTAGTACTTTGTTATTACAGCATTTGCTTTTTGTGTAGGCACAACATGGATGCAGGAAATAGTTCCTCTAATCCTGAGTGGAGGTGACCCGGCCTCTGTCGAGTCCCTATATAACTGGGACCGAGTTCCATGGCTGGAGGAGCAGCGGGCGAGCCAATTGAATCTGGAAGAGAGGCCGTCCCCCCGCATGCTAACGTCACACTTCCAATACAAAATGATGCCTCCGAGCTTCTATCAGGTGAAACCAAAGGTAAGACGTTCGATCGGTTCTAGTCCGACAGTCTGTCGTAAAACATTGAAATGTGGAAGTTCTGCGTGTTCCACAAGTGTAAAACTAACAGACATGTTCTCCTCACTGAAGGTCATCTATGTCATAAGGAACCCCAAAGATGTGTTTACATCTGCCTTCCATTATTACGAGACAACCTCCTTCATGGTGAACCCAGGCCCACGGAGCAAATTCCTCCAGAAGTTCCTTGATGGAAACGGTCAGGACTTCTTTTTTGCTTAATAAAATTGTACTTCGTAAAATTCTTGTATCATTATGTTGTTGTGTGTTCCCTATAGTTGCTTTCAGTTCATGGTTCGATCACGTGAAGGGATGGCTGAACGTGAAAGGTAAAGAGCAAATACTGTATGTCACCTACGAAGAGTTGACCCAGGTTAGTTTTACCAGTTCATCTTAATACATTCTACTAAGTCAGCATTTCTTATGGTCATGAAAAAAATAATGAGTGGGACCTGGGTTTGATGCAGGATCTAAAGGACGCCGTGTCCAGAATTGCTCAGTTCTTGGGGAAACCTCTGGACACCAAGGTCATCGATAATATCGCAGACAAATGTTTGTTTCAGAACATGAAGCAGAACAAAATGTCAAACTACTCGGCTGTACCTCAGGCGATTATGGACCAGACCAAGTCAGGATTTTTTAGAAAAGGCATGAGTCAACACTTTCATGCAAAAAAAAATGTCTTTGTGTCTTCAAATCAAAAGTTGTTGTTGAGTCAACCATTTCTGCCATTGTGTTTCAGGAACTGTTGGGGATTGGAAGAACCTGCTAACAGTGGCAGAAGCGGAGTACTTTGATAAAGTTTATAAAGACCAAATGAAAGATGTTCAACATAAATTTGTATGGGACTAAAATCAGTGCATGATAAAAAAATATGTACATTTCTAACAGAAATACTGAAATAATCATTCTATGATCGTTATATGGTATGATGTTTAGACATTAAAGGAAATGTTCAGATGTAAACACTGAAGAATGCTTCAAGTGCAAGTCTTTGAATTTTAAATGTACTAGATATATTCATTACAGGATGTGTTTAATACAAAGATCTAAAGCTCCATTCCGTTTTTTATATAGTACATGATAAAAGGAGGTATTAATCATTTTTATCTGTTTTCATTGCACAATGACATCAATAATAAGAAAAGTGATTCAAAATTTTAGTAGTGATACAGTAATAATAAAATATGGCTCATTTATCACGTCTGCCTTTGTACTGAGTGACGTTTTCATTTCATTACGTTTTGAAATGTATTCTAGGTTTTTAGGTTAATATGGCACTTGTTTCTTATTATGGACTTTACAATTTGGTACTCACTACAAAGTCTGTACATGCTCGTCGATGTTGTTTTTTTGTCAGTAGAGTTCTCGAACGTACAACTGCGAGAGTGGTCTTTGAACGCGGCATTTAGTTGGCTGAAGGACAGATATGATAATGGATAAATTAGTCAGTGTTGTCTTTTTTTCTCAACATGAACTTAATTTTGATAAAATTAAACTGTCGCCTAGGAAATACCGCGTCCCTGTTCCTTTAAAGCATTGTTATTGGATAATAATGCGTTATTAACTAGATGTTATACCGTTATACATCCGGCAGCGCTTGCTAACGCTGTTAGCACTTCCGCTAGCTAACAGTTCCCATTGTGTTGAATGGAGGCAGAGAAAAGTGCGACATACTTAAAGTCTGGTAAAATACCAGGTAATTCATTTTTAATATTTTATGTTTTGTATTTTATAAAAAAATAACTTATCGTTTAAGTTACGTTTTATAGTGCATTAGTAATATGTATTTTGTTTCTCCGTGAAAATGTTGCCACACTTGTTCGTAGCGCCCCCTTCCGTGTAAAGACTTAAAATTATGAATCCGCTCTTATTTAGTATAATTACAAATGGCAACACTGTTACCAGTAACCATGTTATAAAGAAAATGCTAATGGGGCTCAGGATGCTCAAAGAAAGCACCAGGCTTTCTTAATAAGGCTGTTATAAACAGATGAAAAAGTAGGAACGCAAAACCCCCAACATATATTAAATCAAATACTAAAATAATGGGGGCAGCCTTAACAGTTGTTTAGGTGATAATGTAGATGTTTGATTCTAAAATGTCTGTGTTATGTGTCTGTTTTTGGTTATAACCTGGTTATATACCGTCCCACTAAACAAGCAAGTGGCGTTCTTGCTTTGATTAGCCAGCCATCTGTCAAAATAGATCAAACTTTAGAAATCCCTTGGGAGTTCCAGGAGTTTTTGGGAAATTAAACGCTTTGAGGCTGGATCAAATAGTGGGTAAAGTTTCTAATAACACTTTATGTTACGTTTAAGACTGATGAGTAGGGTGACATTGGCACCATCTGCAGGGTTTCTGCTACAAATACAAAAGCACTGGTTTAAAATGACAAATTTAGCTTTCAACTCTCAAAACTGAGACTAGTTTATAGGCGTGCAATGGTGATGAAATATTGCGTGATCTTTTAAGATGTCTAAACATTAGCTGAGTCATATCAGATAGAAATGGAGGACAAAAAACATGCATCAACTGAATTCAGACTACTACTCTGTTTTATAAATTCATGAAATTCATGTAAAGTGGAAACACACACCATGCACTGTCTAGAAACATAGCATGTGCTAGCATGCACTTCTGACATTAATATGCCACAGCATTACAGCATACACAAACACAAAGTCTGGTTTCCTGAGCCCTGGGTTGGTCACCAGCAGGGAGGCAGTGTCTATTGCTGTTTATCATCAGATCACATGACCTGTGACGCAGCAGCTGTGGTGGTGAGTGGGCAGATACAGGTTGGGAATGTGAAACTTACAGCAGCTCGGATGAATCATTCCATGGTTCAGTTTTGTATTCCCTTCTGTGTCGTCTCTGTTGGACCTCCACAGTGCACTGGGGTACTTCCTGTACGAGGGTTTTCAGCTACGTGACTGAGCAAAGGTCAATTAAACACAGGACAGATTATAACGGGGGCAATGTGAACAACAGAAAACAAAAAAATACTAAGCAACGACTTGTCCATATCTGAAAATTAATAATTTCTTACACCATCTGTGCCACAAGGGGGGCTAAATGTCATTTAGTTTTACCAACAGTTCCTGAAAAGACATATACATTATTAATAATATTTATTTATGTATTAAATGGTGTATTTCTAATGCTTGTTTTCCATCTTTCAACATGGCTAAAAAGTCATTAGCATAATGACTGAAGTTGTTTTGTGAATATTTTTGACAACATTGTAAAATGTAATTGTTCAGATGTCATGACATTAGTAACAACTTTTGGCAACCTGTTGATATGTTCTTTATATCATTTTTCCGTGCCTATTTTTGTTGTTTCAGAAAACCCCTTAAAAATGTATTTAAAAATATATATATAAATGTATCAAATTGACAGTATCTGCCGATACATCAGATGCATTATTTGTGACATCCTGAGGTACAAATAATGTTAACATTTGTGAATAATGCACATTGAAACATCTTTTTTCATATTATAGGTTGTTTTTGTGTCTATGTGGTTCTAACCACACATAAGTTGTTTACAAAAGTATGTACTCTATACTGTATTAAACCATTTAGACAGCAATTACAGAAGTATTATAATAACATCCCTTCACAGACTGATGACCGTACAGTAAGGAGTGACAGACAAACAGGAAGCTGAACTGGTGTCAGTTTTGTTGTTTCCTTTTTTTCCCCTTATATCTCAGGTATGGGTTTAGTCAGGTCTGACCATTTCCAGGAATCTAAGAGTCTAACTTTGAACACACACACACACACACACACACACAGCTGCTCGGTTTCAGTTTCGTTTCTCTGATAGCTGGCTGGCAATAAAACAGAAGGCAGGGTGAAGAGGAAAAGAGGAGGGTGTGTGGGTGTTTGTGTGTGTGGGGTTTATAAGCTGAATTAAGCCATTTGTTGTTGCTTCATTTAGCATCCAACTTCTCAGAGAGGGATGAACAAGAGCTCTGAAGATAACTGAGGAAACAAGGTACGGTCACTTATTAAAGGCACTTATTGTCATATTTATTATAACAATATAATAATAATAATAGTATTCCGGCACAGTTTAGAGATTTTACTTGTTACTTTTGTTGGTTATTACCTTGTTGCTAAATGTGTCTGACATTTGGTCCAGTTTCATAATGTACCGCCCTCTGTTGCCTAATACTAACAAGCCTTTGTCCACATACTACAAGCCTTACATTGATCATATAAATAGTAATAGTGGTTGTGACATGTACCAAAGTTTTTTTTTCATAACTGTCCACCACACTTTGGCTAACTTTTAGCTCCTTCAAGATGGTGTTTATAGTTGTTGTGAGAGAACCTGTTGTTGTTAGCAATGCTGAGTGTTTCCTACTAATTTAATCTACTCTGCTACATTATTTGTGTTATCAGTGGAAAGCCTTTACATACAGGATCTCATTATGTGGTAATATATTTGCTAAAATGTTGTTCATTTTAACTATATTTTATCAGGGGTGTTTCTAACATTTCCTTCGTTATATTTCTGACGTTGAAGTTAAATGCTGTTCAAGCTATTTTCCACTGACAATCTCATAGCTAATGTTTACCCACACTATGTCTTGGCTAAATCTTAGTTCTGACTTAACCATGATTTCTAATGTATTTTTCTTTGCCTATTGTGCAATTCAGGTTATCTTGATAGTCTTGTCTTTATTGCTCAAGGGTTTTATTGCCCAAACTTTAACCAATTGTGCCTAAAAGTTTTACCCCTCTTCTGTTTCTTCATTTGGATTTGTCTTTTTTTTTCCAAGATGGAGGAATATGAGACAAATGTTGTGGCTTTGCTGAAGGAGCACCCAGGTGGAATCCATATCAACAAGTTATGTGAATTTTACAACAAACAATACCAAGAAAACCTGACAGTGAGCTCCCTGGGCTTCATCAGTGTGGCCAGCTTTGTGAAGTCTCTGAAAAAGTTTCTGATGGTGGAAAAGAAAGTGGTGTATTACAAAGGCCATTATTTCAAAATGAAGAGAGCTGAGGCAATGGATAAAACTGCTGTCTTGAAAAAATTAGTGACCATGGTTGAGCAGTATCCAGAGGGTATTCCTATCAAAACCCTCTCCATAGTCTACAGTCAGACCTACCACAAGAACCTGACCTTGTCCACCTTGGGCTTTGACTCCATCACTAGCCTTGTTGACTCCCTGAATGAGGATCTAATTGTTCAAGACCAATTGGTGTACCACAAAATACACCAGCATGCAAAACAACCTGAAAGTCAGAAGTCAAATCAAGCTGCAGGGGGCTGTAGATCCTCTACTCCAGAAATATCAAAACCAGTAGTAGTAAACAAGACCCCTGCAACGGCTGCTACCGAGTCACTGGTGGGAGTTAGCCACCCTCTTATTCAGCCAGGAAGTAGCCTTCGAGGGACTCCTTTGTTGCAAGTTCCATATTCTCCTGTTAACCTGGTCTTCACCGCTCCCAAGCCAGTTCAAAGTCTGAGCCAAGATCAGCTCTACCAGAGGGTCTTACAGGTCAGTCAACAAAGACACTTATCACAATCTATATTCTCATCCATTTTTGTTACTGGGGTTCTCAACCTGTTGCACATGTAATAGTTGATGTCCACTGATTGAGTTTCTCCTCTATACACTGAAAGATTCTCCTTGTATTCCAGGTGATGACCAAGTACCAGGAGAACGTTTCGTCAGTGGAGCAGCTCAAAACATTCTACTTAAGGGAGTTTGGCGAAACGTTTCCTCTCGCACAGTACATGTCTGTGTACGACAAATGGGAAGCAAACGGACACAAAGAGCTGCGTTCCACTCAGTCTGAGCCACCAGCAGGGGCCAGCACTGGTGCACCAATGACACCTACAGGTAAACGACCATATGCACTAGGACTGTACAGCTGGCCCTGCTATTAAAATAAAAATAAAAAGGTTTCATTCATTCAAATGTTAGAAAGAAAAAAAAAACAATTTTATCCACAGCAAAAAGAGCTACTCATCTACTGCTGCCTCGTGTGGTCACTTCGTGCCACTAAATTATTGTTAGATAGATAGATAGAACTATATTAATCCCTCGGGAGTTTCCTTTGGGAAATTAGGAAATTAATTAAACTCCTGTCTCAATACGTTTTTTCACAGCAGCTGGTAATCTTGCAAAAGAACTTGAGAAACTGAAGCAGGTACCGCTGTCTTTGACGTTGGATGACCCTTCTGAATTTCCGGAGCTGATGTCCAAAAAAGACGAAATGACCAAATGGCAGAAAAAGAAATTGAAAGATGAGGTGGAGAAAGATAATGCAGCCCCCGTCTTCAAGGACTCGTACCATGCCCAGCTGAGAGAAGTACATGGAGATAATATGCGGGCTGTAGAAGCCATGACCAGGGATGAGGACAGAGCAGCAGGGGGCAGGAGGAAGAACAGGGTCGTAGATGAGAGTACAGTCAACAGTCTGATGGAGGACGTGAGACGGGAAATTGCTGCAGAGGGAGAGCTGGTTACTGAGGACAAGGTGAGGAGGACCAAGTTTTACTGAAATAAAACGACAAGTTTCCCACAGGATTTAAGACAGGGTCGTTAATCCTACACATTTAGGACAAGAACACGTTGCTTATTATTTACTTCTCAATAATAGAAGATTATAAACAAATATTTGACATTAAATGTCTTCAAACAAAAAATATATCAACAAAACCAAGGATAAAACATTTAAATAAAACATAAAAAATACAATAAATCTTACTTCCTTCATAGCTAACACGACCAGCTAGACAGAAAGTGAGCAGAGCTTTTAAACCAACATTGTCTCCCGTTCTCAAGTAAACAAAACATAACTTAAACCAGGTAGAACTAGTTTCATGTTTCAATAACAAACACGTCTGAACAATAAAGTGACTTGGTGAAGCGTGAATGCTTCGGCTCTTTTATTAAATAGTTCCTGTCATTACAGTTCCTGTCATAACAAAACTTGTTTGACAGAAAGTCTGTCTCCTGTCTCTGTCCCTGATGTTGACATTCCTCTAAACTACTGACAAAGTATTGGGTCACTAGATCAGGACACATTTTTAACAAGAAGTATTTAAGTTTTGTACCCCACACCAATTCTGTTATGGGTACCGGTGTGTCCCAAATACCTTGAAATGTGGTGATTAATAACTAAGAGTACGCTGTGAAGTAGCATTTAATAAAAGTTATTCTGAACCAAATTAGCCAGGTAGGTAGTCTAACCAATCCACCACTGCCCATAAAATGAGGAATGCTTTACGATTTGCGTGTCATGGTGTCAACACTTTTTCACTGTCCTCCAAAACCTCTCTGTGAACAGGTGATTTCCAGGACCTGTGAGCTGATGCAGGTTCCTTCTCTGGAGGCTTTTGGGCACAGAAACAGACAGAAATACCAAGCTCTCAAAGACCTTCAGTACACCACAAGAGAGATCAACATTTTTATCAGGGTAGGGATTTTCACCTGACTCTTCCTGTGTTGATGTTAGTTTTATCCTAGTTTTATTTTTTAATCTTTTGTTTTTCTCTCAGTCCACTGAAGCAATTTCAACCATCTGCACACTGTACGAGCTTAGCCAATCACTGGCCGGCCTAAAGGACAAGAAGCGTTTTGAAGAACTGAACCTAGGACCGCTCTGCAAGATCCCGGAAATACACCGCATGTTTAAGATCAACAGTAACACCAAGGACGACGACATTCAACAGATCGAAACAGCCGACATTTTAAAGGTATGACTCTGTCTGATGGTCTACACTTAAGTTTCCTTTTACATTCATATCACCATGTACTAACTTTTCATTATACTCAGGCTAAGTTTCTACTGCTTTATGTTCCTCTTTCTCTCTAATTTAAAAAAATGTTTCCATTTTTATAATATGTTTTGGCTAACCCCATTCATTGGTCTTTGTTTAGCATCTACGTGTTTTTCGGAAGAAGAGTCCAAAGGTCAGAGTGGACCTGACTGAGTTTCTGCAGTATTTGACTGATCAGTATGACTGTGAGTCTCCCTATGAGCTGGGCATCAGGATTAATAGTGTGGCACTGTCCATATCGGTAAGACCTGCACACCTGAAGAATGAGTGTGCCTGTGTGTGTTCGCAAAATACTGGTGTTTGACACTTCACTCACTCACTCTTCTGCAGACGCTGACAAAAGTCCGTAGTGCTGAGTTTACCATCTTGGATCAAGCCAGGCAGCTCATCCTGAAGGAACTGGAGGAGGAGACTCAGGATCGGCTGAGGAAAGTTAAGAGGAGCGTGTTGGAGTCGCTGCCAGGAGCTGGTTTCTCCGCCTCCTCCTCCTCCTCGACAGGGAACACAGAGCTCAGGAAGAAGTTTGCGTCGATGACAGCAGCCGAGGTCGTGCTGGAGGTGTTCTCTAATGCAGAAGGCGTGTTCACTCCCAGGATGACCAAGGTAGGTCCCCAGTGGCCAGTAATTGTTATTGAAAATTATTAGTATTTACTGTATATCTGGTGATACAATACATATCAGGATACGGGGCAACAATACGATATATTGTGATATACTGCAGTACTATAGGAACGACAATTGTGTTTTGTAAAACAATGTAAGTGTAGTAAAACTGTCATCCTAGTAAACACACAATACTGTAACATCTTAACATCAGGTTACTAACATTGGAACAGAGCGACTGAACCTCAACACAATCTTTCATTCCAGCACGTCCAGACTTTTCTGCTGCAGGTGTCAGGGGACAGACTGATGACGGCTCTGTTCCAGCTGGCCATCTGTGGTGGCTCGCTGGCCATCCCACAGGACCTGGTGCCCAGGGATAAGACCCCCAAAACCAAGGAACAACCACAGGCAGAATGTGACAAATCAGCGGCAGCCCTCCCCAGCGCAGGTACCAGACTTTCTGGGATCACTGGTGTAGAGGATGTATTTTTATCTGTGACTCACAGACGCTTCTGCTTTTTGTCTTTCAGCCAACCTGAAGGAGTTTCTCAAAGACAGCCTGTCCTCACAACACTCGGCCATTAATCTGGCCTTCATCACCAATCTGGAGAGGCAGCTGACCAAACACTTCCAGGTCAAAGACTTCCAGGCTTTACAGCAGGGGAGCTTCTTGGAGTTTCTTGTCAAACATATTCAGGTACGAGATGTTCATTTTTGTCCCTTTCACTACTGACTCTTCACGTGAGACTGCAGCCACACACCATCTGCAGGATGTGCAGCTTTATGTTCTTCTCTGTGGCTCTGTGGTCGGTGAAGTCCAAACACACTGAAGCCAAGTTCTTCAAGGCCCAGGGTTCATTTTGATCAAATGCATGTGTTTACTGGACACACATGTCACTGATACCAGGTTCAGTTTTTTTCAAGTTTCTCTGCGTTTGTCCTCAGCTGCTGCAGGACTCTCTGGGATCCACTCTGTTTCTCGGCAGCGGAAACGCCAACATCCTAGGCAACGGTTCAGGACCCACCAAACAAGACGTGTTTGAGTTCATCAAGCAGTGTGGTGACTTCACCTCCAAAGACCCTGATGAGGTTTGTTAGCTGTCAGTTGTTATTTGTTAACGGTCTATGACTAAGTGAGTATGAAAACGTCATGGTGCTTATTCTTATTTATATATGAGTGGTTTGGCTCATGACTGCTGCTAACCTGTCCTGGTCCATTCCTCTTCCCCAGCTTTTTCATGTTGAATCAGCGCTGAGATCCCATTACAGAGTCAGGGACAGTCGGGACCTCGGCTATGGCACTCTTCAAACACTGGTTGGCCTGGTCAAACGTCTGAGTGGGCTGACGGGCGGAGGACCTAGCCAGGTTTTTTACGAGTCCGCACTCTTTGCCAAGCACAGCAAAGACAGGTAGATGAAGTAGACGCAGGAGGAAAGATTGTAGGAGACGAGTGCTTTTCTTTTGCACCATGTCCAGCTGCACAGAACTTAGATTTTCCTGTACTGTAAAATAACGTCATCTGTGCTGCCCTCTGCTGATATAAATCATTATCACACAGTCAAAAACCTATGACTAACTAAATGAATTTTGTTAGTTTGCATTGATTTATAAAATTCTAACAAAAGTATACTTAGACACGCAATGTTTTCTAAATAAGACAGTTGTTAAGGAATAATACACGTTTTTATATTCAATGAATAAGTAAACAGCAGTGTGCTAAATCATTGTAAATATATCACATTTCTGGAGTTTAGTGTGAAAAATAAAATTAAGAAATTGATTCCTTTCAATCTTAATCTTGTCTTTCTCCCTTCGTATGTAAAGTACTGAAGTTGTAGGTGAGGTGGTGGGACGTCTGGGAGAAGTGTCCAAGGCCCAAGCCCTGGACAGCTTGCTCTCCTGCCCCCTGCTAGAGGATGTTAACGAGTGGAGTCAGTGGGAGCTGGTCTTTAAGCCGCTGCATGGCCCGATCAAAGATTTCATTGAAAGGAATGCAGGTAAATAAACATGCTTTGTATTTAAAGTATCAATGTGATTTGGACCAAGGTTCTGACCGACTCTGCTGGGAAGTAGGAGTGTTGGAACTAACTGTCAAGGAAAGTTTCTTTTTTACACAAATATGTTGACTTTAAGAGCCGTTCTATTCGTGGTCAACATCCAGGTAACACAGGCCTGGCAGTGTTGGAGGTCGCACCAGGTCTGCTGCTCCGGATCACATCACACACAGGAGACAAGCATTTCCACAGAGCTGTCACAGAGCTGGACCCCGTTGGCACAGCTGGACATCTGGTGTCCATGGTGGCCACAGACGGCATCAACAACGTGTCCACAGCCCTACTGGCCAACTACATGCAGAGCTCACTGGAATCAGCAGTGGCTAAAGACAGCAGGAGTAAGTAGATGAGAGTATACACTATTTTTTAAGAACATATATACGGAGAGTTACAAAACACAAATCCTGTGCATTTGTTAGAATTTTCTCAAGCTGAAGAAGAGACCTCATGTTACAGCAGAGTGGCCAGGTTTGTCCTGGCATGTCTGACGAGAATCCCCAACAGAACCTGTCAGGCTCTGCTGCAGAAGGTTGGTGGCTCCAGGTCTATGTAGCTCCAAACTAAAACCCTGGTATTATCACCAGTGACAATGCAGTATAGTATATAAGCATCAAAAGTCCAAAGTAATATTTTTCAACACTTTCTTTCAACTCCCCCTCCCCTCTGATGTGGTGTTCAGGTCTTCTTGGTGCCCTTCTCTCGTGCCGTGGGCCAGGCTGTGTCCAAACAAGCCCTGGTCTCCTCCGCCCAGTCTGACCCCAGACACATGAACTGTCTGCATCGTCTGGGCCTCCTGCTGGGCATTACAGACTGGGTGAAAGACTACCAGAAAAAACTGAACCCTCAGCAGAGACAAGACCCCAGACCATTCACCCCACTAGTAGACCAGGTCAAGGTCAGACACCAGTCCTCTAAAAACATATCAGACCGACTGTATTAGAGATTAAAAACACTGGAGTTTGACTTTTCTCAAAATGTTTGATGCTCTCACAAACATGTTTGAGGTCAGAGTGAACTTTCATCGTCCATTTGAATCTTCACAATATCTTCTCAAACATGGAAATTCAGAGGAGTTCATTGTAAAATAACAAGCTGATCCAATGTATTGTTTATCCTTTAAACTGCAGACAAATTTGGTGAATTCAGCGAGCAGCAGTCTCTCTGCTCTGAACATGAGTGAAGAGGATTATTTGGAGGAGAATTTCATGGATGACAGCTCTGTTTCCTCTAACATGAACCCAAGCCAACAACTAGGTGACTGTAAGTCCTGGTTCTGCAGCAGACAGCATGTATAAACCCCCAGTCCAGTTTTCTTCTTTCTCAGATGGTTATTTTTGACTGTGTCACAGTTAACAGTGAGCAGGATGTTGAAGAGGATGAGGAGGAGCAGCTCTTTGAGTTGGTCCCAGTCCTTAATGGAGAGGTGTCACCTGTCATCAACGAGGTAGAGGATGGAGAGGAGGAAGAGAAGGAGAAGGAGCCATCGGAGGAGTCTGACTCTGAGCAAAAGGAGGACGACTCCATGCCTGGCTGTCAGTCAGAGACTACAATCAGTCCTCAAAGAGCTATCATAGAAGACATCAGGTTTGAACAGTTTTCATATTTTTTTCTTTTATCTGATTTAGCCTCATTCCCAATGGACCAAAATGTTTACTTTTATTAGTGACTACTAATCTACAAGTTTTCTGTGGCAAAACCTAATTTTTACATCTTAGGAAAGTGGGTCTGAATTAAAACACTCTGAAGCAGAGACTGAAGCAGGTGAAGTCTTACATTGTGTCTGTCCTCACAGAAAGAGTGAGTTTGGTATTGGAGAAGAGTTGACAGCTAAAGGCCAAAAGCTCATTGAGAAGAACCAGGATCGTCTAGGCCGTAGTTTGGAACGCCTGTCAACAGAACTCTACAGCAAAGACACACACTTTGTCCTGGAACTTATTCAGGTGGTTGTCAAGCCTAAACTAAGCCTCAGCGGATTCACATCAGTTATTGTGTAATAGTCTAACAGTGTATTTGGTCAACGAGTCCTGTTTGGACACACGTCTTTCTTCTCCGTTGTTCAGAACGCCGACGACAACAGTTACCCGTCTGATGCTAGTGTTGTTCCATCATTGGCCTTCGTGGTGGAGCGAGACTGCATCGCCGTCCTCAACAATGAGATTGGGTTTCAAGAGAACAACATCAGAGCCGTCTGTGATGTGGGCTGCAGCACCAAGGGAAAACACAAATATGGATACATTGGTAATTCATGCCCCCTCCAGGAGAACTTTTCAGGCTGGATTCTAATGACACCTTGGTTTAATCAACGACGGTTCCTCTCTTTGCAGGACAAAAGGGTATTGGTTTCAAGTCTGTGTTCAAAGTCACCGACTGTCCAGAGATTCACTCCAACGGCTTCCACATACGTTTCGACAGGACCAGTGGAGTTTCCTTAGGTTACATCCTCCCTCACTGGACTGAAGATGTCAGGCCTCTGGAGGCACAGATCAAGAATGTCGATCAGAACAGGTAGGATTCGCCACAACTCTCGGTTCTCTTGACATTTCTGTCTGGGCTCCTCGTTGATATATTTTAGAGACCTTTTGTTTTTAAACTGTTTTCTCATCAGCTGGACAACGAAAATCTGTCTCCCCCTGCGTACCGAGAGCCATCAGACCAGGAACCTGTTCAAAGACATCCACCCGTCCCTGCTGCTCTTTCTCCACCGCCTTCGCTCCATCACCATCTGTAACCAGGTACATTTGCTGCTGCTGCTCACGTAGAAGCGTTAAAGACTCTTGTTGAATTTTGTTTTGATTTGACTCTTTTTTTTTTCTGCCTTGGCCTGATACCAGAGTGAGAACCGTGTAGTGACCATGACTCGAAAAGATCTGAGTCACAATGTGGTGGAGGTGGAGCACACAGATGGGGTAGAGCGCTGGCTGGTGGTCAAAACAACACTGCATCCTAAACAGGTGATTGATTTAGACTCGACAGAGAAACAACAACAACATGTTTGTTTTTTCTGTGAGAGATCTTTTTTTAAACATTCACGTCTCTGTTGACTCCTCAGCTTAAAGAGGAGGTCGAGTCCACTGAGCTCGCCTTGGCTTTCCAGCTCTGCAACGACGACACAGGAAGTGACATCGTGTGCCAGCCAGAAAAACAACCAGTTTTTGCCTACCTGCCCCTCCGCAGTTTCGGCTTCAGATTCATCGTCCAAGGTGAGAGTAGAGAGTCGTAGTAGGCTCAGCAAATGTTTCAGAGTAACTCTAATGTGGTGGAAACCGTTCATCTGCTTCTGGTCTCTGTTCTCCAGCTGACTTTGACATCCCGTCCTCTCGTGAAGACGTGGACAGAGACAGCTGCTGGAACCAGTGGCTTCGATCAGAGCTACCTCAGCTTTTCCTTCAGGCCATGGACGTATTCACTGTGAGACATTGTTTTGTTTTGTCTTACTCACTGATCAAATGTGAAGTAAAGGCTGTGGTTATATTTAACGTAAAGGTTGATTAGAAAACTATTTCATTTTGCTACCAACAGTCATCAATAATAATTCAATTATTACTATTATTTCAGTGATAATTTCTTAGATCCAGCTCCAGACAAATACCTTTATGGTTAGGGTTTTAGATTTGGGGCGATGGTTTAATTATAGTTTACAGAACACAACAGCAACTTGAATTTCTCAAGAAGATAAAGTCAAAAATAACTGATCTACTCGACCCTGATTCCTTTCAACCTGTGTCCCCGTCTTTCTTGGGTACAGAACCACCCACAGTTCTGTGGGCTGAAGGGCTTGTCTCAGTTCCTGCAGTTCATCCCTCTGCCTGACGAGGTGATGGACTTCTTCCAGCGTGTTGCTGGTCAGATCATCACGCTGCTGAAGGGAAAGGCTTTCCTGCCCACACTGAGCTCAGGTACCAGTCTAACCATAGGAACTTTAAAAAATCTGGACCAATCTACAAAGTCAACCTTCCTCTCTTGTTGCCTCTGTTATAGATGATGAGGTTGTCTACAAGATGCCATCCCAGGTAGCCGTGTGTCAGGACCCAGTGATCCGCGAGGTGATCAACAACGAGGAGCTGGGAAAACATCTGTCCCTGTCATATCTGCACCCAGGTCTGAGCCCTGCACCTCCTAAATCGCTGCTCAAGGACTTGGGGGTTCGATACCTGGGTGGGTCAGATGTCACCACTGTGACTACAGCCATGGCCAAGGAGCTGCTGAATGTGGAGGGAATCCACTCAGGTCTGTACCAGGAAGTGTAGAAGTGTTAGAAGAAGAGTGTCACTAAAGAGTCGCTGAATATTTTTCTAGAAACTCGTTGGCTGGTTTTTAGGGGGAAACTGACAAAGACAAGAAGTTCTAGTGGAGATCTTTCTGCCACTAATGAACATGTTTTAGGTCAAGTTCTTCTTAATTTTGAACTCAGATTTATTTCCTGATGTTTACTCACAGCTTGTGTTGTAGTTTTGTAGTTCTAATACCGATCTTTAATTTGGTAAATAATTATTTCCATCTCACTTTCTGTAATTTTCACTCACTCGCCTTTTAGCAAAGAAAAATTCCTTGCTCTGTTTCCCCCAGAGGTTGGCCTGAGACAGTTGGCCCGGCTGCTAGTTTGTAACTTCAGAGCTCTGGAGTATGGTTACGGCGAGTCGGACTCCATCCTGCAGTCTCTCAAAGACCTTCCTATTATCCCACTGGCTGATGGCCGTGTGGTGTCACTGAGCACTGAGGAGGTCTTCTTCCCAATGGAAGACACCAAGACAAAGAAATCGGACCAAAAAACGGTGCAGACAGGTAATTACAGTCATATTGTTGTACAACATTCTCAAAATGTGATCAAAATAGAAAACTACAGCGCAAGAACTGTGTCTTCTTCCAAAATTGGTTTCTGTCTGATCAACTGTTATCAGGGCCACTCACTGCTCTGTACAAAGATGTCAGTGTCGTTCTCCCCTCTCTGCTGAACTGCGTTGAGCCCCTGGAAAGTCAACAGGTCCGAGAACTTCTCCGAAGACTTGGAGTTCATGAACTGGAGCCTCAGGAGCTGCTGGAGCAGCACATCTATCCATGTATAAGGAACAACAAGTGGAAGGTAGTGTTGATCGAATGTGTTTCATTCCGATTCATCGTAGAATTTTATACTGATGATTCCCTTCTATTTCTCGGTCATTAGTTTAAGTCTGAGGCAGTGGTGATGAGCTACTTGGTTTTCATCAAGCAGCATTCCACCTCCAGCCAGGAATATTCAGACATTGCAGTGCCTGTACTGACTACCAGGGGACTCTTGTGTCCAGGAGTGGACAGAGTGTACTTCTCTGAGGAGTATGGCAACATCAACCTGCCCAACAAATTGCCTGGTACTGTTTTTATTTTTATTTTTACATCTCCAGCTTGTCAGATCCAGTCGTCAGATCCTCATATGTCAGGTTTTAAGTCAGTGATGTGGAAGTCAGTTGTGGTTCATTCGAGGCAACGCTTAGGAATATACTAGAAATGTTCAGGCTGCCCGTGATCAAACTGCAGTCTAAAATCTGTCATAAGGAAACAAGCAGTGGCTTTGACTCTGGTCATGACCGCTTGATTTTTAGAAACCTACTCTGTTCTTATTTTACCGTCCTGATTTAAAAGGGTCAATTCTCAGTGTAGGATAATGACTGCTGTGTGTTTTCATTGTCTGTTTACTTATATAAATTAAACCACAAATGTTCTCTCTTCTTCTCTCGGAGCTTTGATTATCAGTTTGTCAACAGCTACTTTTTAATCTTCCTCCAGGCTTTGACTGGATCCTGCTGAGCCCCTGCTACGTGCAGACAGACTGGGATGTGGCAGGATGGAGGGAGCTGTTCAGCCGACTGGGAGTCAGAGACGGTTTCATCATACGCAAAGAGAGGAAATCGCTCACTGCTGAAGAACTGGTAGGAAAATGATTCCACTTTTCTATCCAAGCTAAATTGAATCAAAGAACAAATGTGTGTCAAAAACACTGGATGAGTGCAGGTGGTCACAGACATTCAGTTTGCTGTGTGAAGAATATATTATATATAGCTATAATATATTCGATATATTATAGTTTCATGAACACTGGAGGCAGAACAGAGTCTTCCTCTGCTCTTAAAAAAGGACCAGTGAGTCATCACGGTGACTCAGACAGAGCTGACGACATGACGACGCAGAAGATTACGAGGACTAAAAGGAAAAACATGGCTGAAGAAAGGGCAGGTTGACTGCTGGGACCTGTCAGGAACAGAGCGCCCATCAGGGGGCTCTTGTGTCCAGGAGTGGACACTTCCTGATCAGTCAGTTTTTGAGACTTAAACAGACTTTTACCAATGAGCTCAGCCTGCATAGCACCAACACAGGTTAGAAATCAATCTGAGATGTTTTAGTCTTGACCACGTTCTTCACATCTCCTGCACGAAGAACCATTTCTCTGGGTGCAAATCTTTGTTTCAGTAGTAGCACGTTTCAAGCCAGACTTTTGCAAACATCATGATCACACTTAGATTTGTCCTTCAACTCCAGGTCTGACTTTGTCAACCTCATCTTATTTTTCTTCTCCAGACGTCCAGCCCCTGGTTGGCTGAGAGTGGCAGGTGGCACCTGAGGCCTGGACAGGGCTGCGTCATCGATGACTACCCCTGTGAGGAGTTTCATGCCCTGGTCACAGCTCAGCTGCCAGGCACCATCCTCCTGCAGCAGAGAGATGCTCTGCTGAAGCTGCTGGCCTCAAACTGGGACACTGGGTAAAACACACACACACACACTATTCATGGTCAAACTATGTCCCAGTTTAGAGCAGGTGCAGCCACTGTGGCTGTTGTTATAATGTAATAGTGTGGACTAACAGTGAGGTTAGGTCAGGTTCTATAGTAAATCCAGTCTTACTTTCCTGTGGTGTCCATTAAATGATTACAGTAAGTGAAGCAGGGACATTGTCAAAAAAAAAAAGTCATTCCAACATTGTATTAGTCTCTAAAATGGGTTGTCTGTGGGATTAATAATCTGGATTTAGTTGCTCTCAGAGCTGTGTCAGTTGAGGACAGCAGCTCATCCTAACAGGTCACCTCAGACAAACAGACTAATAAACACTGCAGGTTAAGAGTGAATCCATTCATTCTCTACCACCTTTAGCATAGTGCTAATAATGATTAGCACCAAAGTGGAACAAAACAGCACAGAACAGACTTAATACAAAGAATAATCTGGTAGTAAACATACTCAATCCCTAAAATCTGTGAAGTGACGGAGCTTCTTACATGGAGCAGATGTTTTAACCCTGTTATGACAAAGTGACAAACGTGAATTAAGCTTCAATTGTACTAATCAGTGAATGTAGTATAGCTGTGAAAATTACACAGATAAAAGAGATGAAAAGTAAAATAAAGCTTCTAATTAGTTTTTTTAAATTGCATCCCACCACTAATTCTTACACCTAAAAACATGTTTATGTCTCCAAATAAATGAGGTGTCTAAAAATCATCAAATATAAACTGCAGTTACATTTCGTTTTGCCCTGGGGAGCTAGTACTCGGAGCGCAGATCCATCATGTCCGACATTAGTTATTTTTGTGCACGGGTAGATTTTCCTTCGGAGCGCAGATCTAAACCCGACAGTAGCTGAAACTCTGATCATTGAACACGTGCAGGGCTGCAGAGAGATGTGATTTCTGCAACGCCAATGTAGGTCACACAGCTGAGCAGCTTTGATGAGTCGGGGGGAAAAAAAAGTCACAGCTCGCCGAGCTTCAGCTGGAAGTGCAGTGGAATCATGGGATCTCTGATGTTGACAAATGGCTAAATAGAAGTATTTTTCTGGACAGTGTTGGAATTTTCACCAAATAAAACACGAGTTAAGCATTTGTGACCAAGAGAAGTGTCTCATTGTCAAACACGTCTTAACTTTTCTTCCAGACACCACTATTCACAGTATCTCACAGCCCAGGTGATTGACAGTGATGGACGTCCCATCAGAAGCACTGTGTCCTCCTTCTCTCACCACTTGAGGCGTCTTGAGTGGGTGCCGGCTTATCGTGTCTTGGAAGGAGACCAGCAGGAGAGAACGTTCCTGTGTCCGAACTCTGTCTACCTGACCTCACCTGAGGTCACCAACCTGCTGGGCAGTCACGTCTTTTATTTGGACATGGAGTCCAGCGAGTTCACCAGAGCTTTAGGTAAAAAGTGTTGACGCTAACTCTTTCTTCCAGGCTAGTTGCTAGCTGTTAGCTTTTACTTTTATTTTCACCTTTGGTAGATTTTTGTCATCTGTTAGCTGGTTTTTGTAGAAGTACTTATTTCTGTTGGTGTATTTACTACGATATGTTGATGACAGTGAAATTGTCTTTGCTCGTCACGTCACTGTTTTTTTAAGGGATGAGACAAAGTATCTCGGTGGAAGCTCTGATCAACTACCTGAAAGAGTGGTGTGTCAAACCTGAGGATGCTAACCAGGAGTGGAATGGACTTGAAGTGGCAGAGGGCACTACTTTCACCACCACGGTTCAACACATTCACAATGTTTACACCTATCTGCAAACAAACTGTTCTCAGAGCAGCCTGAAGGAGCTGTTCCAACACACACCAGCTGTGTTCATCGAGTACAACAGGTGACGTTTGACACAGTTCAACCTAAAAAAAGGTTTTGCAAGTGCAGTGACTTATATTTGGCGCACTATACCCGAAGAATCACAGACGACCAGTACTTCTCTGCCTCCACAGACGTGAGACCGGCTGGTGTTCTGGACGTTTCTACCACCTAAAGGAGGTTTGTTGGAGTGACACCACCAAGATGTTCCAGCGCTACAAACCACTGACCAATAAACCTGACAGCCCGCTTCAGGAGCCCAAACTCCTGGCTCCCTTCTACAGCCCACTGGTGGACATGAAAGACTTCTTTATCAAGGTACGCTGATCTGTAACTGTCACAGACAAGAGTGTACTCAGTGTTTCTGTATCTGTGAGCCACTGTTATTCTAACTGTGTGTGTGTATTTATTTCTCAGCTGCTGAATGTAGACCCCAGCCCTAACATGAAGCAGTATGTGGGTTTGTTGGAACTGATATGTTCCTCTGCTCCCATACCAACAACTGAGGTGCTACAGGACGTGTCTCTGCTCTTCGCCAGACTGGGTTAGTAGACAGATCCAGGTTTGTTCAGACAACAGGAACATCATGTGATCAGAACAAACCTGTGGCTGGACGTTACACATACTGCAGATAAAGTATTCTGCACAGGTCCAGCACAGGTTCAAGTTCTGATATTTTTGGGGGGTTCTATTTACTGCACAAGATGCAGCAAACAACAGAGCAGCTACAGTTTTTATTTCTTGTTGTGGTGAATGTTCTGACACGTGTGTCTTTGCTACTGTTTTTATCCTTTAACTCTTCGAGGATGCTATGAGTCCATCCCTGCGTCCTCGTCAATGGCTGAACAGTGCAGTAGATGATTATAAAAATGTAACCCAACATCTGTTCGTCTTCCACAGCTCAGAAGTGTAAGGTTCACGTGTCAGTGGACCCAGACAGCCCCTCCCACTTCAACCTGAACCAAGGATACTGCTCCACTTTGAAAGGTGAGTAAAAGCAGTTCTATTTTCAACACCTCACTGTCTGTTCTCGCTGTGCTGGACATTTTCACTGTCTGTGATCATGATACTGATGATCTCAGTATCGTCACTGTTTTTGAACTATCCCTGGATGTTCTCTGACACAGACAGCCTGATCAAATGCTAGTCTTCAGTTCAATTCTTTAACCAATATATACCTTAAAAAATAATTTTTTCCAGACTCTGGACCCACTCTGTTTTTTCCTTCTCCACCTCCTGCTCAGGTATGGTGTCAGATAAGAGGGTCTTTCCCACCAAAGAAAACAACTGGGTGACTTTGAAGCATAAACCCATGATCCCTGACAACAAGGAGTTGGAGAAGATCTTCAAATCGGACAAGAAGGTCTGTCTGCTCAACCTGCCACCACCAACAGAGAAGAAGGTTCCTCCCAGCAGCAGGACAGGGAACTTTGGTTCGTCAATGCCGCTTTTCTTCTACTTTGGTTTGACTCTAGCTGTCAATATTGTCAACAGTGTTTAAATTCCTTTTTCTTCTTCGAACGTTAGGAGAACGAACCAGCGTTCCTTACTTTATTGCCAAAGACCGACTGCTCTTCATGGAGATCTGTGGCATCTGTTCACTGTCCCAGTGTGTCAAGTCTGAGCCCCAGACCGAGAGCCTGAGGCCCTGTGCAACCATGCAAGATCTGGTCCGCTCCGTGGTTCCGTACATCCAGAGGTTCCTCTACTACCATGAGGAACTGTCACAGGTCCACTCTGAGCTGGTGGACAACAACATAAATGAGACGATCAGGCGACTTCAGTTTAGACAGGTCTGAAGACGCCATGTGACTTTTCTCATTCGTTCATTCTCATCTCTGTCACTTAGTTTCTCAGGTGTTCGCTTTTACTTTTCTGTTTGTACCTCCTGAAAGTCCTCTGGCGCCCCCAAGAGGAGACTTGTCTCTCAGATGAGAAAAATTAAGTCATCGTTTGTTTTTTCCCAGGTTGGTAAACTGTACATCCGCTACCAGCTGGACGTGGTGGACAGTGACTGCCCCCTGGTGGAGATGCAGGATGTCATCTGTCTGCTGAAAGACAGGAAGGAGCTGTACATCCAGAAGGACCATCTGGACGCCAGGCTGGACATCTGCAGGTGAGACTACGGTGCTCGAGGTGCATTTCTGTACTCGCTTTTACATTTATGATACTACTGGAGACTTGAGGTACTGCAGTGATGTGAAACATCCACTCACACACATCGTCATCTCATCCAAGCTTCCATCTGGAGGTTGAAAAACTACGACCTGCTGGTTTACCACTGCTGTGGGATTAAGTGTGTGTATTTTTTTTACAAACGTCTTTGTCTGCGACTTTAACAAAATTATTGAGTTCCATCCCAAGTAAAAACTGAAAATGGTTGGTCCACTTCACCAACTGAAGTTCCAGAAGCTTCCTTTTGTAATTCTCATTTGTTTCTGTTTGTGTGTGTGTGTGTCAGGGAGCTGGTGAAACTCTTCTGCACAGAGAGCAGCCACAGGAAAGAACTCATCCATTTCTTGAGCGCCCTCATCACTTCACTCAATGTAAGTCGTGTGTGAATATATATTTATATATACATGTCTATATTGCTGTCCTGGAGTCTTTTCTCCACATCACACACTAACACACAACAACACTGCTGCTGCCGCTGCTGCAGATCTGAGATCAGCATCATTTAATCCAGCCTGTCCCTGGAGGGAGTCACGTTCACATGACACGGCAGCTCACAGTGCTCAGCTCTGCAGCTGCACTGACTCTCTGTGAAGTCACTGCTTTAAAGGAAGACTTCAGATCATTTCTCTTTTCTGTCTTTTGTTCGTGTGACATCATTGACAGTCTGACTGAAAAAACATTCATCTTTAAAAAATAAGAAAAAACAGCTCACTGGATGAAGCCCAGAGCTTTAACAGAGCAGTCCACATCCCACATGCCAAAATGGTGTTGAAATAAAATACAGACCACTAATTATAATTAATATATAAACAACAAATTCAAACAAGATCTGTCCATGCAGTTTTCTTCTTTCCTCCGAGGCTAACGGCTAACATAAGCTAACTGTGTTAAATGAAGATCGTCCAAAACTAAATGTGCAGACGACATTGTTGACAGTAACGTAGCAGTAAACAAAGGATATCTGATTGATTTTATCAGGTCAGACTGTAATGAGCTTTTTTTTTTTTTAAAACTCCATCAAACACTATCGAATAAATGCAGCAGAATTTGGCAGCAATGTGGGGTCAATAGTGAGATGTGGGCTGGACACGTGGCTGCAGTGTTTAAACTCCTGCCCTGGTTTACGCTGAAGTCAATGAAATGGAATTTTGACAGTTTGATGAAGTGTCTTAATGATGTGATCCTGCAGCACAACACTGACTTCACGTCGCTGCACTCTGCAGATGTGCGCGGCTCAGAGCCACTTAGAATCACAACAGCTCAACACTTAAAAACTCTCATCTGAGGCTGGGACTTGAGCCGCCACTGGCAGCGCGGCTTAATTAGGTCATGAAAGTTTCAACAAGAACGTCTGCTACTGCGGGCCTTGGCAGAAGACTCAGAGCAAAGATTTACATAATGTCTGCGTTTCACTGAGTAAACAGAAGCACCAACCACAATCTGTAGTTCAAATACAACCTTAATAATTTAAAATTAGCCGAGCAAAAAACTTGGCTAAAGCGTCATTTAATGATGTCATCCCTAGGGTTGGGCTAGCAACGATTTTACACAAACGAAACAAAGCAAATGCCCCAGCAGAAAAACAGTAACAACAGATAATGTTACACCGTAAAAGAAAATGGGAAAATGAACTTCATTTTTACCCAAAAGTTGAGTCATAATTGTTGGCCTGAAAATATTTTAATTACTTTGTTTCAGGCTAAAAAATAAGCTTAGGAAATGTACCATTTATTTGACAAAATGTTTAGATGTTAGCCAAAAACAGTTCTGGTCTTTTAGCAAGATTCATTGACAAGTTAGCTGAGAAGTAACTAGAGTTTAGTCTTAGCTTGACTACACATATTCTGGTGATTACTGTGTTATGAACCGTGTGTGTGTTTGTGTGTTTGTGTAGGAGCCCACAGCTCTGAAGAGACTGCTGCTAAAAGAAGACATCAGAGAGTTGCCCAGTGATGAGGAGCAGTGGGAGGTGCCGGAGCCTCCCAGGCCTGATGTTCATCTGGAGAGAAGTATGGAACAATCAGTCAAGGAACAGTACCAGTAACAGTACCAGTTGTCTCCATATCTGATCCATGAAAATGCCCCCCCTCTCCCCTCCAGTTTCAAGATTTTACCCCTCCACCGGCTCTGTAGAGGAGCCGGTCCGACCGGTGCAGGAAGACGGGGATCAGACACTGGCCTGCTGGCCTCCTCGAGCACCGATGCACAACAGTGGAGGCAGTCGAGGAGGTACCGATGGTCCAGGTGACCGGGGAGAATGTAAACTAATTTAAATCCCTGCAGGTGTTTTCATGATGTCTGTGTGTGAACAGCTGCAGCAGACGGAGGTGTGGTTGAAGCCGTCATGCAGAAGTGGCCGCCTCCCCCCGGCCCCAAAGACAGGGGGACGGAGAGGGAGGCGTCGGCACCCAGAGAAGAAGGAGGACACCTGGTCCAACAGAGTACCAGCAGCAGCAGTGAGGGACACCAGGCTCTCAGAGGCCTCAGCAGACCAGAGCAGACTGGAACTCAGAGAGTCCTCAGCCACCCAGGACAACCACATCCTCCTCACCTGCCTCACCCTCCTGCTGCAAACCTCCACACCAGCTCAGCAGCACTGCCTCCAGGTACACAACCACCTCCATCAGACCTCTTTGGCTGACAGTCACCATCACATATACCTGCAGTGACACAAACTCACCACATGAGGCAGCAGTGGACTGTTTGTTTTCATTTTAATTTAAAACATGTTTCTGTACATGCTAAATATTAGGACAGTTGTTCAAGGATGAAGTAGAATTCATGTTTACTGCAGTAATATTTTCATTTGGGTTAAAGTATTTTGGATTATTTTTCCCTTTAATTCACCTATTTGGCTCCACATCACAGGGTCAGATCCCAGTCAACTGACCCCGACCAGCACCACTGTCAGTCCCCAGGAGGGAATGGAGGTGCCTAGAGCTCCTGCAGGGGCAGAGACTTCTTCATCTGCACCTCCTGCTGAGACAGTCAGTCATCAGCAGCAGCCTGGTCCAGACAGCCTGTAAGCTCGTCCTCCTCCTCCTCTCTCTGTCAGAAAGTGATGAGGTTTACTCCGTGTTCCTCCTCATTTCATCTCCTGTATCTGTGTTTTTTTCAGACCCGTTCCCGAGGCCGTGGTTCTTTCTGGTACATTTCAAGGAACTGCTGATTCTCAGCGTCCTCCTCTAAACCTGGACTTCCCGCTCTGGAACAGAGTGCAGCCTCCTCAGGAGACTCTGGAGGACATGACGCTCGACTGTCAGAGACCAACCACAGTCAGTACCTCACTGGTACAACACCAGTGTTCTCCACAGGGTGGCATGAGACCAGTCTGTCCCAGTAGTCTGGGAAATGAATTTGTTTCACTCAGTGAATCTTCTTTGTGGCTGACATATGCACTTTAGATGCCTTACTGCCACCTACAGGCTGGGGGGGGTTTGGTTGTTGTGTTCAACTACGGTCGTCTTTTCACAGGTGGTTCTGTCGGACGATCAGACAGACGTGTTGGCTATCGGGGGGTGGGGCGAGGAGCTGGTCTACTCCTTCCTGTGCCACTGGAGGGACAGCGGAGAACCGGGCTGCCCCACCGACGTACTGTGGTGCAACCACATCAGAGAGAGCGGGCTGCCCTACGACTTTAAGATCAGCTTCGCGGCCCCCGACACGTGGACGTACGTGGAGGTCAAGTCCACCATAAAGAAGGAAAAGGCCTTCATTCACCTCTCGGTCAAAGAGCTGGACTTTGCACTGAGAGAGAAGGAACGTTACCACGTCTACAGGGTGTACAGCGCCGGGGACGCCAACAACGTCCGGCTGTGTCGCATTCAGAACCTGGCGCAGCATCTGTACACCAAGGAGCTGGGACTTTATTTGTTTGTCTGAGACTTTTATATTGTGATTTTAAATTCATTCAACTTTTAACTTCACTGAGAGGCTACTGAACAGAGACCTTTGATAAAGCTCACCATTATTCTCCACTGGTTTTTAGTTACTTTGGTCACTGGTTAATTTTAGTGTTTCTTATATTTTTACAGTCTTGGCTGTTTTTAAACAGTGTTTGTCTAAATCATTTTGTTCAGTATGCCTTTAAAATGAATTACATTTAATTTATCTTCCCACAGCTGGAGATTTTAGCTGCGTTTTTCTTGACTGAAATGCTAACAGCCATAGACCTTTAACAAGAAATGGACACGACAAAATGTGTCATTTAACTGCCGGCAGGTCTATTTTCAAAAACAACAACCAATAATATATTAATTCTTTGTTTTTTCATCTAAAACCAGATCATTTTTCACAACTTTGACAACCATTTAGCTATACGACACAAAATTAGCCATTGACTCAATTAGGTTCTCATTAAAACGTCTCTGCGACGTCCAGTCTCTTTGATCCAATAGACTTAGACTATAATCTAATTGGTCCATGTTGGCTTGATTAGTTCTTTATTTATTTCGCATACGTTAGCGTGCAAAGTTAGGTATTTTCTGAAAACCTTAGCATCTGTTAGCAGCACAGATGTTTCAGGATAGACGACTGACTCAATCCTGCTCCAGCTACCAACAAAAATCTGAATGGGGCCCCTAGCCGAGATGCCCCCTGCTGGCCAAGCCTTCACTTTAAACACCAGATGGTTACGGCTGATTCTCTTCCGAGTCTCTTCTTCTGCACTGTTATTTACACTGTGTGCACTTTTATTACACCAATCTGTAACTGAAGAACAATGTTTGCACTTTGATTTGGTGTTTTTATCTTCGCGCTGTCTCCGCAGGTTTGTGTCCAACTGCAGCTGTTGTTTGTTGTACTTTTTTAAACTGTAAAGTGAGTTGAACTGAATCCTTTGTAATGTGTCTCTACCTCCTGTACTCATATCATTCCTTCAAAATAAAGTGTTCTTAGCCACTGAAACTATTTGAGGCACTGACTCCTCTGGAGTCAGATTTACAATTGTAAGAAACGAAAAGAGCATCTTATTTCACTATTGATCCAACAGCGTCACCTGGTAATGGTTCATATCCACCAACATTCCTCTTTCAATGACACTGACACCAACACATACACAGAAAAATATTTGTTCTACAAAGAACGTTTATTTTATACAAATGCCCCCTTCTTGTGTCTAAGAAATTCATATTTACTGTAAACAAATAGAAAAGTATAGAGATGAGTGCAGCACAAATTTAATTTTGACCTTCAGTAAAAATGTCAGTTTTAAATTCTGCTGCTTTAATCAAAGGTTGTCCATCAATATGAAAAGGAAAACTATTTAGGCCAAAAATTTAGTTATCAAATAGGCTTCTTGGATTTTTTCTGCTTACTCCCATCTTATTTTTAAAAAACAAAAACTTAAAACCATTTTTAGCCTTACCTTTACTCATAGATGAAGTCCACCGTTGTATCTCTCGGGTTTCCCTCACCTTAGCATTGTTTCCGTTGCTCATCCAATGTCAAATCGATCCTTGAATTTCCAAAAGTTTTTAAAGAACTCTGGCTCTGTCACAGTATCCTGAGTTAGTCCAGACGTTGTCACACGATGAGAATAACAGACAAGGACAGCAGTAATGGCGGTTTCTTACAGGACAGCCACACAGCCAGTCTTTTGTCGTTTGTACCACTCCATTCAAAAAGAACGACTAATCTGTCCCGTAGTTTGAAGCTAACCTTTTAGCTCCGGCGTTGGTCTTCCATCACTTATCACCTTCTGTTTGGACCGGAAGTCCAGTTTTGAGAAATGTTTCCGTCTTGAAATACAATCCACAGTGAGTCGGATCAGACAGGGCATAACAAACGCTGTTCTTCACCTACTACCGGCTCTAGCTTAGCGCCGACTTTAAATTGCCTGTTGACGTCAGCTGGAGAACACCTGTTAGTTCACGTACGACCCCTTGTGGTGAGGCAGAGTACTGTTTGCTTCCCCATGCTTCACCCTGGATTTCTGATTTCTTTTTGATTGCGAAATACTCAAATTCGGCGATTTTTACTTAATAAAATGTCAAGAACGTGTAGAGTCATACTGATCATTTATATTTCACACAGATCAGTGCAAAATATTAATATTTATTTTATGTACTTTTTATCATGATGGCAGTGCCTTCACCTGGAGAAGGTTAATCCTCTTAGCCCGGGCCTCATGTGAGCGTGTTGGTGCAGATGTTAGACAGGTTACTGGAGACGGCAGGAGGCGCTGCTGCGGCTGATATTTTTCTCCCACAGATCAGACACAGTCAAAAATAACACACATCTAACAAAGAGCCATGGCCTGACTTTAGAGATAAATGGGGATTTGGAGTGAGATTCTAGAAGAAGTCGTGTTTATATCATCTCAGTAACGTCTGTTAATAACAATTCAAATCATAAAGAACCTCTGATGAAGGAGTAAAGGAGCAGGTTTGTTTGTTTTCGTCCATCTTTTTCATGCTCCTCCACTGCATCCTGTCTTTGAAGTATGATGCATTGAAGTACAGCTCGTGCATCTTAGCACCGAGTTAAATACTCATTTGTGACCATCCTTTGTACGATCAATATTATACATGAAGAGATCTGACGCTGAACAACGGAGTTGGGAGAATGATAAGAATAAAAATAATACGTTTAAAAGTATAAATGAACGGTGACGTCCTGTGTTTCTGAAGCTACACAGCCTGGGTCAGTGAAGGCCTCTGCTGACCCCTCCTTTTTCTTCACTTGACTTATTGATAAATGCACATGACCCACATGTCACATTGCTAGCAGCTCAATGCTTCAGGTAGAATGTCCCACCTTAACATCCCAGTTGTCCTGTCTTTGTTGGCAGAAATCGATCTTTTCGTGTTTTTCCGACCGTTCATGAACACATCATAGTCTGTACAGAGACAGCGGGCAGCGGCAGCTCCCTGCGGAGCAGCGCTGCCATTGGCCAGGGCTGAAGGAGGGGGGAGGGACTAATTCTCTCCTCCTTCTGTATCCTCCCTCCTCCTCTTTCTTTCCTCCCCTTCTCCTCCTCCTCCACCTCTCCCCCCATCCTAGAGGACAGGGCGATGCGGAGACAATAGGACGCAGAACCCGCAGGAGGCAGCGCCATGCACGGCTCCACATCCGCACAGTCACCGCCGCTGCTCGGAGCTCCTTCCCCAGACACCCGGCATCAGCTGACCCGAGTATGAGCCCGAATGTTCGGCTGCAGCCTAGCAGGACTGCAGGGCGGAACCAGCAGCAGCACCGACACAGCAGCAGAGCCAACGGGAAGTCAGTGAAGGGTGAGTGCTGGAGTGATGGAGGAGAACCGGGGCTGGTCCTGGTCTCCTCGGCTGCACCTGCTGCTGAGGATGATGATGATGATGAGGATGATGATGATGTAGCAGCAGTAAACAGGCCCAGGTGGAGCAGCAGCAGCAACACTGCTGCTTTTGTTGCTGCTGCTTTTGTTGCTGCTGCTGTTATTGTTTCCTGGTCCAGAACATTCACTGACCGAGGACACGAGCCGAGAACAGAACAAATGTTCTGAGTGGACTGAGACCAGACCATGTCCTGGTGAAGTATCAGCTGGACATGATGTGGTGTTGGATTATTACAATATTATTACACACACACACACACACATACACACACACAGCCGCCTTTTAATCCGGTCCAAAATAATTTCATCTCATTCTCACTGACAGTCACAGCTGAAGTTCCACCACATATGGAACAGGACCTTCACGTGTACTAGAGTTGGGATGGATCCCATTTAGACTCAAGGTCCAGTAAATAGTCTAGTGTTCATGGTCCAGGTCAGAGAATCTTCATTTTGGTTGCTGTTCCACATTTGTCCACTAGTCCACAGCTGAACTTGAGCTTCAGAGAACAGTAATACAAATGAAACGAGTATTTCCTAAGGACCATATTGATCAGTTGAGGTACTGTTTTGATGGTTGAGGTACAGGTTTCACTATTTCACAGGTTAATTCAAATTCTGGAGACAGTGATGACGACTGTTTCATCTCCTCCTCCTCCTCTTCCTCCTGCTTCATCTTTACAGTTTAACCTGACCACAGACACTAAACAGTTCTGATCTCCAGAAACAGAAATGAAACCCCAGTCTGTTTTGTCACTTCATGTGTTGCCGATGGCAAGTCAGTCCACGTGGGAACGTTTCTTACATTCCCAGGGTCCAGGTCTGTGGCAGTCCAGATATAGTTTGAGGATAAATCGCTTCTAATACGAACTTCAAGCCAAGAGAGATACAAAACAACAGTGTTTGGCAGCACAGTGGTAGACGTGGTTAGCGCGGTTGCCTTACAGTAAGAAGGTCACTGGTTAAATCCCAGTTTCTCCATATCTGTGTTTGTGGTTTTTCTCCAGCTCACGGTCCAGGTCAGCTGTTCACACTGAACTGAACACTGGTGTGAATATGAGTGAACGGTCGGTGGTCTCTACATGTGACCCTCTGATGGACTGGAGAACTGTCCAGGGTTCTGACCCCGCCCTCGGCTGATGACCACACACATTTACAGAACACAGACGTGACGTGGAGTTCTGACGTCCGTTAAATAGAAGGAACCAGACGATTGTTTTCAGTCTGAGCTCCGAGTTCTGCTGCTGCTGTTACTGCTGCTGTTACTGCTGCTGTTAAACTCTCAGTGTTACCCTTTGGGAAGTGTTCTGGTGTGTGTGTTTGCAGTGTAGGAGGTTCTCAGAACATTTTGTTCCGAGTGTTTGGACCAGTCGTCATGACTGCGACCAGATCTTGGTCCTAATGAGTCAGAAGCTCCATCCTGATCCGTTCGCCTGTTTGTGCTTAGGACGGAATTATGAATCCTGGTCTGGTCGTAGCTGAGGTCGGACTTTAGCTGGTTCTGATTGGACAGAGCAGGTGAAGGAACATGAACGCAGAGACCAAACATCAGCAGCTTTGTCTGTGTGTGTGTGTGTGTGTGTTGCTGTTGTCAGTAGCAGTGATTTTCTCAGTGCAGTCTGAGGACACACTGCAGGATCCAACATCATGACGTAGCTCCTGCACTGGGCTGTAGAAACAGACCATAATACTTTGATACTTCCGTTGGTACCAGACCTTTGTAGAAGTGTTTTAATCAGAGTAGACCGTTCAATCTGGACGTCTCTGACTCCGACTGCTGCTGAGATTGAAGCCACTGAAGTATCGGAACTGTCTACATTATAGTAAATTCACAATTCAATATAAACACATGACATTAAATGATGATGTACTGGCCTGCTGAAAGATTGTCAAATTAAATATCTTCTCTCCTAAGAACACAAACTGCATTTAAGTCAACTGCTGGATCATTTCTCGTGCACGCTGCTTTATTCCCACATCCAAGTAAAGCGACGAAGTGCAGAGGATCAGAGTAGATCTGAGTGAACCGTGAGCTGACAGACTCCATGAGTGGAACAACATCTGCTACAGATACATCAGAGGAGCTGGTCTCTATAGTTAGCTGTTCACACGGGGCGAGAAGAGAGAGAATGTTCTCTGGGTTCACACGGGGCGAGAAGAGAGAGAATGTTCTCTGGTAAGACCCACTGGTGTGAAGTGAATGTCACGGGGAGCTCCTGGTCTGAGCTCCTGGTCTGAGTTGTCCACAGCCAAGACTCACTTTTGCACAAAGAGGCTTCTGCACAGCGTTAGGGATGTTTGGATTTCAGGTGATAAACTAAACCCGACGTGGAGAAAGTCTTTGCAGATGCACCCCCGTTACAAATTTCAGCATTACACGTTTTGCAAACTCTGTGTGTCTTTCTCAGACATACTGAAATGCGTCCACACCACACGATTTTTGCTTGTGTCGTCATAACTTCCTGTTTCAGTGATAAAAGTCTTTCGTCCAAAAACTGAAAATGCGTTTTTGGCCAAAATATTCGGTGCATCCCTACAAAATACCGTAATATTTGTAATAAAGCTGTTCTGGACACACTGTCATCCAGTAGAGGGAGCCCTCAGTACAGCTTCACTGCTTATCTGTTTAATGGCTTCTCAGCCAATCAGTAAGAAGACAAATGTGTTTTCCTGTAAATAAAAACGTGTCCAATCACAGTCCAGTCACACAGGCGGGTAAGATGTCCTGGAAAAACTGTCAACAAAGGTGAGGGGAAAATGACCACTAGGAGGCAGCACTGGAGTGAAACTCACACCTGAGCAGTGGTTGTTAGGGAGTGTGATCTGAACGACCTCAGGTGACTCAACAGCCCAGGGAATGAGGAGAAACATTCAGACTCCAGGGGGAGCTAAAGCTACAAAGAGTTTTAATCTGACAACAACTTTATATTTTCAATCCTCATCCAAATCCTAACTCTAGTCCGATCCTAATCCTGACCAGCAGATGTCCCCACAGGTACAGCTACATCAGGAAAAAACACTCTCACTCACACACACACACACACACACCTTCGAAATCAAACACGATGAGTCATGAAGCACAATGTAGGTCACATGACCCAGGGTAGGGCTAAGGAAAACTCATCGGCATCTTCATCATCATCTTCATCATCTTTAAAGAAGTATTTCAATTGTTTTATTACTGTAAGGCAGTAACTAAGACAGATACAGGTACTGACTGTGTCAGTACTGACTGTGTCGGTCTCTTTTTCCACCATTGTTTCCACCTCATTTTCTACAGAACAGCATGACTGTGTAACTGCACCAACCCAACGGCGTTTACGGCGTCACACCTTTTTTTGACAAACGACGTACTTGGATCCATACGCTCACAGACTTTTTGAGTTTCTGGATTTTAGTGCACGCCATGTTTCAGTAGGAAAGCCACGCAAATATTCTACATGAGGACCCTGGTTCCAGACCAGACCTACTCATGAAGTACCATGAGGTACAAAGTAAAACTGCAGTAGGAAAACAGATGGTTGTACTGGACGACCCAACATTTGCCCCACTGAGGTGATGGCTCGTTAGCAGAGGACACAGCGTGGTGGTTTGCTGTCCAGCAGTGGTGAGGATTCAGACCCAACATCCAATCATGTCCCCAAAGAAAACAAGATTAAACAACCCAAACCCCAGAGAGTGGACTGATGGTGTCCACTCTCCCTGACCCACAGACCAAACAGAGCAGCTCAGTTGAAGCTCCTTTTATCTCCTCCCACTCTGGTCCTGGTCCTTCACAGGTGAAGTTCATGATTCCTGATCAGCAGCCAACGACCAGAACACAGCTGGTCCAGACCAGGCTGACGAGCAGAGAAACCGACTGACTGTGGTCTACAGTAGAGAATGACCTTAGACTGAACAGAACTGTTCATCTGGATTACATTAATCCAACTGTTGATCTGGATTAAATAATTCCAACTGCTGATCTGGATTAAATTAATCCAACTGTTTATCTGGATTAAATTAATCCAACTGTTGATCTGGATTAAATCAATCCAACTGCTGATCTGGATTAAATCAATCCAACTGCTGATCTGGATTAAATCAATCCAACTGCTGATCTGGATTAAATCAATCCAACTGCTGATCTGGATTAAATCAATCCAACTGCTGATCTGGATTAAATTAATCCAACTGCTGATCTGGATTAAATCAATCCAACTGTTCATCTGGATTAAATCAATCCAACTGCTGATCTGGATTAAATTAATCCAACTGCTGATCTGGATTGAATTAATCCAACTGTTTATCTGGATTAAATTAATCCAACTGCTGATCTGGATTAAATTAATCCAACTGTTTATCTGGATTAAATTAATCCAACTGCTGATCTGGATTAAATTAATCCAACTGTTTATCTGGATTAAATTAATCCAACTGTTCATCTGGATTAAATCAATCCAACTGTTCATCTGGATTAAATCAATCCAACTGTTCATCTGGATTAAATTAATCCAACTGCTGATCTGGATTAAATCAATCCAACTGTTCATCTGGATTAAATTAATCCAACTGTTTATCTGGATTAAATTAATCCAACTGCTGATCTGGATTAAATTAATCCAACTGCTGATCTGGATTGAATTAATCCAACTGTTTATCTGGATTAAATTAATCCAACTGTGTCGTTAGCTCAAAGTCGATCAAACGTGCCATGACATTTCTAGAACCGAGTTCAAAGACCAAGAAGTTCGGCTTTAGGAGGTCTGTGTCCGACTGTGGTCCAGTCAGTCTGTCCAGGACAGAACACAGAAGAAAACCTTCACAATTCTTCTGTCAGACATTAAATCACTGGTCAGGAACCAATCAGTGACTTCCTGTCGGCAGGGTGAGCAGGTTTCACTGAGCTCAGCAGCACCTCAGATTATGTAACCACTGTGTGTGTGTGTGTGTGTGTGTGTGTATCCCCGGTCGAACGGCTTTTACTTTGATTTCCTGCAGATAATTAGCAGGTTCATGTGTGATGGGGACAGATTGGTGTGTCTCATCAGTGAAAATGTCACAGCACAGTACGGTGGCCCAGGGGGTCAAAACACAGCAGCATTTCAACTAAAGCAAAGAAAATGCAGCAGGTTTGATTCCCTATAAGCAGTGAAGTCAAGTCAAATCAAAAGGAGCTCTGCATCGTCTGGTCAGTAGTCAGACGTCTGTGTTGGTCTGTGGTGAATACTTCAGTTTCTAGACAGGATACACAAGATAAACCAAGAAAATGTTAAAAGGAAGAGTAGTTGGAACTCAGAACAGTGCTTAAAAATGTCCAGAAGAGGGCAGTAATGCTACAACATGTATGACGTCCTAACCGATGATACCTGTGTTGTTTGTACAGTGACCCCTGGTGTTAGCCTCTGCAGCGCCTCTTCATCCTGAGCATCCAGTCATCAGTTTTTCCCCTGTGGTCCGTCCTCTAAAAACGTCCCCCAGCATGAGTTCTTCTCCACTGGTTTCCCGAGCCAACATGGACATCCTGGACGAGCTGCAGCTGATAGCAGCCCAGAACCTGGAGCGGCTGGAGGTCAACAAGTACTACGAGGTCATCAGGGAGCTGGGCAAAGGCACCTACGGCAAGGTGGACCTGGTCATCCACAAAATCAGAGGTGAGCGCCACATCTTGGAACTGAATGCACATTACGTGTAGAATTGAATTTAAGGAGATCAGAAACCCTGAAAACATTTTTGTGTCATTTGGTTCCTGAAGGAACCAAGATGGCGCTGAAGTTCCTGAAGAAGAAGACGACCAAGCTGAAGTCGTTCCTGCGCGAGTACAGCATCTCCCTCTACCTGTCTCCCTGCCCCTTCATCATCAACATGTTTGGCATCGCCTTTGAAACCGACGAGTACTACGTGTTTGCACAGGAGTACGCTCTGGCCGGAGACCTCTTCGATATCATTCCACCCCAGGTTTGTCCCAACGTCGCTGTGGCCTCCAGGACACTTCCAAGGTACTCTGAAACCTTGTATTTTACAGAGTGTAATCTTCCTCTGCTCACTGCACCTCAGGTTGGTCTTCCAGAAGCAGTAGCAAAGCGGTGTGTGCACCAGGTAGCCATCGCTCTGGACTACCTGCACTGTAAGAAGCTGGTCCACAGGGACATCAAACCCGAGAACATCCTCATTTTTGACCGAGAGTGTCGTAAGGTGAAGCTCTCCGACTTTGGAATGACTCGCCGGGCCGGATCACCAGTCAAAAGAGTGGGTAGCGGCACTAGTTTGTGATCAGCTGGGTTGGTTTAGCTTCGATGTTGACCTGTTGACCTTCCCTCTGCAGGTGAGCGGCACCATTCCCTCCACGGCCTCTGAACTCTGTGCTGTGTCTGGCCACGCGGTCTTTCTCGTGTCC